TGTTATGTGGTTGGATGGTCATGAGTGCTCTAGGAGGGATAGTAAGTGGGACTAGCATGTTAGATGCTCATTTGACTCACAATCAGTTTGTATTTAAATCTTCTTCCTTATGATCATCATTCTCATACACAATAAATCCATCAACTTTGCTATAATCACCTTTGTCATTATTTAAGTTAGCAATTGGTTCATTATCAATAATAGTTTCTATGAACTCATACATCTTTTTTTCTTAATAGGAAATCTCTATTACATGCTTATCAATAAGTCTACATTTGACTTAGACTTCATTTGAGACAATTTTTTTACGATTTTCTAAAACAGTTTTTTAGTTAAAAACTTTCAAATTAAAAAAAAAATGTAGCTTTTTTGGCTATATTTTATAGCCCTCATTTGTCCCAATGCAAGATCATGAAGTTGAGAATTTTCAATCATGTTTTGGATTTTATGAACCAAATTACAATATAATACTATAATTAAGATTTCATATATGGCTAGAACAAAAATGTCGTGTATGTAAAACATTTCATATAACCTAAACTATGTTGTGAATTCAGACTAGGTCTTTTCATGGATTGTGTTAAAACTATATATTATAAATGTGCTCATAATAGTTTGAAAAATAATATGCTCAACAACAACATTAAGTCTTTATACCACTACACGGGATTCAGCTATATGAATCTTTTTTCTTCATTATGTCATATTAAGAGTTACATTCTCATTTAAATTTAACAAAAAATATCGTTTCTAGTACTTTTTAACCTAGCTTTTTTAGTTCTTCCTCTAACTTTCTTAACATAGGCATATCTAATACATCTACTTTCCTAACAAGGTCATCAGAAGGTTAGCGTTTTATGTGACAAAACAATCTAAGGAAACTCTCTCTAATCTTATCGTCACTAGAGCTACGCTAGCCTTTTCTCATATATAATTGCTTTTCTTTCTGTCTCTATGGGTAAAGCCACTCATCCACCTGAGCATCCTCATCTCTATAGCACTTAACTTAATTTTATGCTTCTCTTTTAAAGGCCAACATTTTGCATCATAAAGCATTGTAGGGCTCACCTCAATCTTATAAAATTTTCTCTTAAATTTGAGGGGCAATTTTCTATCACACAACATGATGCATTCCTCCACTTTAACCATCCAACTTGAATTCTATTAATAATAACCCCATCAATTTCATCATCGCTTTGAATAATAGACCCAAGCTACCTAAAATGTGCATGCACTCTTTTTAATGATTTGATTGCCCAATAACAAAATCCCAACACTTATATATTACTAATAAAATTACACTCCATGTATTTGATTTTAGATTTAATCAAATGAAAACCTTTAGACTCTAAGGTTGACATACATAATTCAAGTTTTCCATTAGCTCCCTATGTAGTCTTATCAACAAGAAGAATATCATCAATAAAAAGTATACACCAAGGTACATCTTATAATAACCTCAAAATTCAATTTCACTAAGATTCCTATAAATATGAAATTTTGACTAGGAGCACTACAACACTATATTTGTGAAACGCTATGGCACCAAGCTCTCAAAGTTTATAAGGGTTTGAGTGAGTGTTATGCTGCTTAGTCACAAATTTTATTTTTTAAATAAAATATCTTATTCCATTTGTTAAAACCATCACCCCAACTAATCCCTCCCTATTTCCCCCTTGCATGTCAAGTGAGAGAGGAGAGAAAGGGGAGAGAGGAGGAGAGAAGAGAGAGAAAGCAAGATTTGGCCTAATATCTTATGTCACTTCAGTTATGAAAAGTGCTTGATTGTAGTTGAAAATCTTAACCCTATTTTTATTTTTGATAATTTTGAGTTGTGTTCATTTTTTTCTTCTAAAATTGATAAAAATTTACTGTAAATTTCTACTGTATAGCTTTTGATATGTGATATATATCATCATCTTGACATTTTGACAAGTTCATTTCACCTATTAATTTTGCATATATGTCATTTTATTAGAAATGAGTAGAGTAATATCAAGTAGGAAATTAGTAGGGGTTAGTTCACTAAATATGAACATGAAATACATGATTTGCATAAAGTTATTGCTCATTGGATCTAACATATATTTTGGCATAATATATGTATACTAATTAGTACTTGTGGCATGTGAAAATGAGACTAGTTCCTTTTTACATGAATGATATAATTGAGATTGATTCTTATTGAGTTTGAAAGGCCTACAAGATTTGACACAAAAAAAATATTACAAATAGCCATATATCCTGCCTTTCTTATTATTGATTATAACATATGTATAAGACATAAGCATACATGATAAATTGCATAAGTGATATGATATAATATGATATGATTGATATAGATATATGATAAGATTAACATGATTAATACATAACATACATAAATGTTATACACGCACTAATAAAGATTGATATATACATATATAAATAGATATTTGACGCATGGTATTATATGATAATATACTAAGGCAAATGATTAGATAGATAACATTTATTTATTATAACTGATGAATATAGTTTCATATATGATATATGTATGTATTCATATTCACCCTAATGTTATATTATATATGATGCAAATATAGAATTGATATAACAAATTGATTTTAATAATTTACTCAGTTAACTGATTAAGATTGATCATATTGAATCGTAATTCTTATAATGATTGTTATTATTCTTACTAATCTACAATGATTAATTATATCCATATTATTGCTACTGTCATGTATTGATAACAATTTTATGTTCTAATAACCTAATGAGCTATTAGCTCACTATGTGATTTTAATATTTTAAGTTTGGGTAAGGATCTAGTATAGTGAAGCTAATTTGATTTAAGTATGTCTAATTTATGTTAGTGTACATCTTTTCTTATTTTATTCTTTTATAGTCAGAAGTATTGAAAGATAGACTAATGTATTGATTGAACTTCTGGCTAGTGCAAATGAATTTTGATGAATAATAATTATAGTAAAATATTTTAATCAATATGATTACTTCCATTGGGTTAGTTATGTATAGAAGAGTTAGAGAAGAAAAAAAAAGGATAAGCTCTTTAAAGATATTTATCTCAATGAATTTAAAGATATTTATCTCACACATGTTGTTTATCAATTTCATTAAATTTATTGCATATCTTCATCTACATGTGCTATCATGTTTTCCTTTCATATTTTTGTAATTGCTTATCTTAGAGGGAGGGTTTATTACCTAAACACTCATATAAAATAAAGTTCCTTAATATATATTTGTCATCATAAAATAAATAAATAAATAAATATATTGACAACTTGTAACCAAAGTTTATACTAAATTTTGATAATTACAAGCTACACTAAAGTTTGGGACTAATGATTTCAAATTGAGTGTATGCAAGAAATATGTAAACCATCAAATGGTTGATTCAAGCACAAGAAGAAAAGCTTAATAGAGTAGAAAAATGCATTATGTTTTTTTTTTTTTTGAGAGAGAGCAACACAAAATAAAAACATTGAGGTCATTCAAGGCAAGCAAGCTATAAAGGTTGAAACTATCATTTACAACTAAGTTAAGTTTTCACTTATGACTCCATTAAATGGTTTATTTTAAAGCCAAAATATTTTTTTTTTAAAATGTATGTGAGGTCTTATTTAAAATAAACTAAATAGATATTTTGATAAAAAGACCTAAAATTCATTAATAAAAATGAATAAAAAAATATTATATAATTTAGACTCTATGAGAATCTATAATAGTTTGTGTATCACCACAAACTACTTTGTGTGCCTACGCAAAATTTAACAAGTCTCGTAAAAATATAGTTTTGGGTTCCTGAAAAAAATAAGTTTAACTAGTCTCTGCAATGATTTACGAGCATTCACAAACTACTTTGCAGGCATCGTCAAAGGTTGATTCTAAGAGATATTAATAACATAATCTAGCCATTTTGCACCCAATTAATTGCATATTTCACTTATTTTTCGAATGTTAGCATGCATTGAAAATGTGGCATTACTTGAGGAAAGAATTTGGGGTAGGTTCTCTAAGTGGAAAAATAGTTTGTCCCAAAAAGTAGGTACAAGGGTTCCTTGTTTATTCGGAGTAACGATTTAGTTTAGTGCATGTTATGCATGAAATCTTAGGTGTCGAGGAAACCGATACATAGGTGTAAGTTATGGTCGAATCACATAAAAATCATTACAAATTTATAAGCGTTTTGTCTTTGCAACTCTTACTTAATGTTATATGTTGACATTTACTTTTCTACTTAACATCGTGATATTTTGTGATAAGAAATAGTTTTTAGAGATGCTTAAAACTTTTAAAAGTCCAATTCACTTTCTTTTGGGCATGTCTAAATCAAAATTTGATTTACTGCAAAATAATTAAAGGATATTATTACTTTTTGCCATATGACTTGCAATAAAGTGAATCAAACTATTTGGGCTTTTTTTTTTAGGTCAAAGACTCAAGATAAAAAACTTGGGTGAACTGTTTAAGAAGGTAATAATTAGCGAGATTACGTGTGGCTATCAAGACAAAGATGAGACAGTGTTAGGGTTGCTTCAAAGGTTACAAACGAAGACGAACATCTTGACAGGGCCGAAGATATTTACTTTTATATGTATACTTCAAATTTGCTCAATTAGAATCAATTTAAAGTAAAAATTTATTATCTGAATTCTAAATTTCTAAATAGCTCTATGGTTTTTTGGTTTTAAGTTTGACTCCCAACTAAAAAGTTCTGGGTTCGAGTCTCACGTAGTGTTGTGTTAGTATTTGAGTGCTGCCTTTAATTTTAAAAAAATATCTTAAAAAATTACTTTACATTTATTTCTCCCAAGGTTACTCTTAATTTTTTTTTATGAAATAAACTCTAAAAATCATAAAACCATCACATTTAATGCAGGACACTACGAAACACTTCAACCAAACGGAAAATTATTGGGTTCGGACACCGGACGACATCCGAAGCTCAATAAAAATGCACCACATCACCTCCTACTCAATACTGAACTCGATATTGCTCAATACCGAGCTCAATACTACTCTGTATTATGAAGTACTGCCCAACCCAATAATCTCACCAAGACTCCAACCAAACAGCCCCTACAAAAATTCGAGAATAAACGATAATGGGCCTACCCTGAATTGGCCTACAGCAATCGGCACGCCAAGCAGCATCTCCGCAGCATCGGCGTTGGCGATGATGCCCTGCAACTCTTCCTCGTCAGAGAGAAACACTCCTCTGTCCCTCCAATCCGCCGGTCGGTGCGTGCAATCTCTCACCTCAAATATTCTATCTCGTTTACCCTTCTCTACCCTCGTTCCCGGCTGCACCGCCACCCCTTCCAAAATTATTACGCCGCCGCCGTTGCCGCTGGTTTCCTTTGTCACCGTACCCGTGCTCCTGCCCTCAACCTCATCCTCTTTGTTCTATTCTCCTGGCCGGAGCCAGAACCAGGCCGCGCCCCCGTCCTCGGTAAGGAGCCTCTCATCGAGCGTTCGAGTGGATGGACTGGGCTCTAGCGGAAAGGGTGGGGGCGGCGGAGGACCCGCTTTTGTTGGACAGGTCTTCAGCATGCTTGATCCCTCGGGCAATGGCCTTATGGCCGTCACGTCGCATTTTGACATCCCCTTCATCACTAAAAGGTGGGTTCATTATTTGTTTTCTGCTTGTTTTTTATTTAGAAGATGGTGTTTGTTGATGGAAGAAACCTTGTAATTTTCTTAAACTATCGTTTCAAGAGTGTGCGGCAGTCACTCTTCTTCATCTTCATTGATATATTGGCCAAAATCTATAGGCAATGTTCTTATTCAACATTCAATTTTCCTTTTGAAAAAATAATTTGGTACCAACTCGAATATTGAACCGAGCTCGATGGTGATTTTTAGGCCCCACAACGCCTCATATAAATTTTGATCAAATAGAACTTATAGAATTTTATACACAATGTATTGCTGCTTATGATGCCCCTTGAAGTTATTTTTTGATATGTCAAGCATCGATCAAGTTTGGCTTTTATATTGCTCCCATCCAAATTGCTTGGAAGTGTTAATTCCTTGGCTTTTACTCTACCCAGTATATCTAATTATTATTCATTTTTTATTTATCCTAATTTTTTGTAGCTATATCTGTTTAGCACGTATCATTTTAAGAAAATAAATTTATCTTGCATTAAGGATCTTGCTTTCAATGCCTTGTGATTGAGATGACACTAAACTACCAAGGAACTTCTTGATGCTACCTACAATAGTATATCTCTGCTTATCATGGAGGTTGATTTTTATGTTTTACTTCTGACTTCACTTTCGCTTCCAGGTTGCCAGAGTGGGTTAAGAAGTTGGTTGTAAGGGTAGGCAAGAATGAAGAAAATGGACCAGTTTTCCGCTTTTTTATGGATTTAAGTGATGCAGGTAAATTATTTCTTTTTCGGCAAAGCTTATTATTTTAGTAACACTTGATGCAAAAATTAATTATATTGATCCAGAAGTTTGACGCTTAACCTTTTTCCTCTTGTATATGCTATCAGAAAGTGAATTAGCTGTGTTATATGCGTTATAAGTCATTAACTTAGGTTATCAAAAATTTCATCGAATTGAAAGTTAAATTTATGAGAAAGAATTTTTGGTGAAATATTTTCCAGAGCAAAATCAAATTATAATTTTGTGCACTTATTTAAATGTGTTTACCACAAGAAATGCTGAGCTTTTTCTCGCTTTTTTTTAATTAATGGTTTTTCTTAAATCATAGTCTTTTCTCGCTTCTCTATCATTTATGCTGTTTTTTTCCTTATAATTACATTGCATTATCTGACAATGTCTTTTAATTCTCTTTTGCAAATGAACCTTCAAAACGAAAACACAAACTTATTGAGATAATAGATGCCATATATGATATAAGCTAGCTAGTATTTGGTGAAATTATTTGCTTTTCTATTTAGATTAGTGCTGGTGTATTTTCTTTTTAGGGATACGATTTGGATGGGCAAATCAAGTTAGGAGCTAATCCTAATCCAACCTCATCTTCTTCAACTAACTCATATCCCAAACCTTATGGCATATTTGATAATTTTTGGTTTGGTCATAAGTTCCGTATATGTTGGGTTGTTTTTAGAATTCTTCCAGCATTAACCAAACAACATGCGCTATGGCATAGAAGATGTAAATAACATGCATGTTATCTATCATTTGTATGGAGAAATCTTTTGCATTCAATCAACAATAACCTATAAAATAAGCGTCAACAGCTCTTAAGGTCAAGCTAAGCTTGCTAAAAATGTTATCCATGAAATTATTGAACCTACTTTTGATGATAGTTAGACCTGGAAAATGAAGAATTACTTTACAACTAATACATAATGTGAATCTCAACTTGAACCTGCAATATTATCTATATCAGAACTTGTTTTACATTCTAAATAAAAAATTTTACATGCACAATAATCTAAAATTGAACAAGAAAAAAAAAATCTAAACATGAAACATGTGTATGGCCGAGTCTATAATTAGCATCATTATCGATCCATCACAGTCATTCAACATTGTGAACACTAACTATCCTCTCGATTATTATTCATGGTGGATGATAGTGTGTTATTGTTCACGATAATAATAATTGTTAGGATAAACGATGGACTACAAATGCAATGTCACATAAAAGTAGCTCATATGTTATTCGTTAGCAAAATAAACTGCACTGGTACATCCGGAATGTCAAATTACTCAAAAAACATACCCATATTGCCTAGGTTGTCATATGAAGGGGAAATATGATATTTGCTAATGCACGAGATGACGAAACATAATTTGAGACATGCGAACGATGAATTTTACTATAAAGTGGATTCATACAACAATATATACAAATATATTAAGGGTTAAATTTAAAAATTGTCCCCTGACTATTTATATATGATCATTTTAATCCTATGTATAACATTGCTCCAATTTTGTCCATTGACTATAAAAAATTGATCCAAGGGACCAAGTTGGGATCATATTTGTAAAGTTAAGAGACTAAATTTAGATCAATTTTAGATCACAATTATATCATGAGGGACTGTTTTGTATTAATTTTATATAGTCGAGGGACTAAATTAGGGCAATGATACCTTGAGATTAAATTGATCAATACGAATAGTCTGGGGACTATTTTGGGATTTTTTTTATATGTTAAAAAAAATCATCTAATCAAAATTTAAATAATGAAATCCTTGTTTCGCGAATCCCACACCCTTCTAATTGTTGTTTGTGGAGTCTCACAACTCCGACCTAGGGGTGTAAACGAGTCGAGTCGAGTATTTGCCTTATCAAGCCTGGCTCGTTTAGTCCTTAATGAGCTCGAGCTCGAGCTCGAGCTCGAGATCGAGCTCGATTAGTGGGCTCGAGCTCGACTCGTTTAGAAAATCTTACATCCCTACTCCGACCCTGTATGCTTTCCTTAAGCATGGTGGAAAGTCTACTATGCCCTAAGATGTCCCCTATATGGGAGAGGTGTCGGGAGGTTACCAAAATTTAAACTAATGAACTTATTGGGAATATGGCATTAAATGACATTTTTGAATAAAATATAACTATATTAAAAAAAAAATCATAAAAATGAGAACAAACTTTGACTGGAATATGACTTACAGGGGACTTATAATGAATGCAACAGCTCACCTACAAGCACGAATATAATCTCCTTACGACCCTTAGAACATTCAAACCTTAGACACAAGGAATCAAACAGCTCTAAATGTGTAATGAAACTAGGGAGGAGGGCCTTCTATTTATAGGAGAAGACTTTGATTCCATAACATTAAAATAGAAATACTAAAAGATGCAAATATCACATCTTGAAATGCTCTTATAGGATTCCTCTTTGCCCTCTATGCCATCCGATTCACAACACGTACACGCAAATGGATAGATGGCAGAAGGCAGTTTTTTAAAACTTCTAGATAAAAATTTTCGCCCACTTCTTAAATGAATGTCCAAGCAAACAACTAAATTTTTTGATATTTTTAAATCATGTACGCATCAAAATGTAGTTATCAAATTTAAGTGCAATGCTTTAAGAAGTGTGCAATCATATCAAGAAGTGTGCCATAACCTTGAGAAGTATGCCATCTGGCACATTAAGTGCCTTTTTTTAATGCAAGCAGTTGGAAGTAATATCAAGTTCTGGGAACAAGTTGCAATGTTTGTTTGGTTTAAGCTGAATGAAATTTAGTTCCTATGTTCGTAAGTTTCCTTTGGAAAGGTTAGAAATGGATTCCCCCTTTGATGGCTTGGAAAGCTAACTTTATTTTTGCTTTTTTTACAATGTAAAAAAAAGCTTAAAATTAAAAGAACGTTGGATTATAATATTGCTTTTATTCAAAATGGTAATAAACTAATAAAATTTAATAGGATGGTCGGTAAAAATGGTAAAAATGAAGCTCATTCTAGTCCAAATAAACGCTATAACAAATTTTGCAAAAGAGAGTTCCTACCAAGCAAGCAAACATCATTGAAACTCACTTTAAGAACTCCATTTTAACCCTTTTCAATCATTTACATCACAACAAATGCCAAAGTGTTGAAATAGATGTATATTTTATTCTAATATGTCTATAATATCTTATTTTCAACTTTTAGCTTATGCAAATGCTTCTGGAAATTATTAATTTGATTTGGTGCTATATCTGCTAGCTTTTAGTGGCATATTAGTATGTTTTGGTTGGCTCTGCATTATGTCATGAATAACATTCTTAATCATTTTAATTACCATAGTTACATATGTGAAAAGGATGAATGTTCCAACTGGAATGGTGGGTGCTTGCCGCCTTGATGCAGCGTATGAACACTTCAAGGTAGGATTGATATTCTGAATTTGCTGTCCGGTTTGTTATATATATATATTCAACCTTGATTACTTCCAACTCAAATAATTTGTGCATGCATAATTTGAATAACTTGGGAATTATATTAATAAGTCATATTAAGATAAACATGTTTATTCTTATGTTTAGGCTGAATATTTTAAGCTGAAATCATTTGAAAACCTTATTTCCGCATCTCCTGGATGGACATATACAAATAGGTGTAACATGTATATAAAAATCTTCTATTTTAAACTACTGTCTATTTGTAACACGCTTATTTCAGTTCATTATTTCCATTTGGCATCCAAGCTATGTTAAAAGTTTTCTTTTAAATTGTCCAGTTGAGAAATTTGTAATGGAAATGTCGTATATATGAAGCTGATACTTGGCATTTTCTGTGGAATTCTTCTTGTTCACATAGTCACACGTCTTTACTGTAGCATACACAGATATGTAAATACTGCTCGTCATTTAAACATAATAGGTGAACCATGAAATAAATCACAGGAAATTGATCTATAAGCTTCATTGGAGTCTAGGCAGGAGTATTCATGTATAGTGTCCGTGTTCAAGTAATTTCACATGTACATTGCTTTGATGCTGAATTGTTTTGTTTTCAACCAATTGTTGTTCATGTAAACGGTATCATTTTTTACTAAAATTTATTTGATCACAGCTCTAAATTTGAAAGTATTACTTTTTTTACAGGAGAAGCCTCATATGTTCCAATTTGTTCCAAATAAAGAGCAGGTATGGGAGAATTTTCTGCGTGCTAAGAACATGCATGCAATAACCTGCTATAATTTCTCCTTACAGGTTAAGGCAGCTAATAAATTGCTGCGAACAATTCCAAAGAAGGGTGAAAGAAGAAAAGTTCATGGAGTTCCTGTTTTTACAGCAAATAACTTGAACATTGCAATAGCAACAGCTGATGGTATCAAATGGTATGCATTTTTCCCATTTATAAACCATGATGCTTTGCTTTCTAGACACCAACTTTGAGCATTTGTGGTGATCTCACTTTCTTTTATTAGCTTTTTTAGTATTATGAAACATTAAAAGCTTGAGAGCTAGAGATGGTTGTGTAGTTACAAGCTAAAGTTTACCTTTGAAAAGCACTATATATCTTATTTTAATAACTTGATATAATGTACCCGCTTTTCCTCCCGATTTATTCTATTTAATTTTAACTCTCCAATCATCTTGTAGCTTTTTTTTTTTTGTTAGGATTTTTTTTTTTGCGAGGAATTTGTGCAGTTATATTTGAAATTAAGCCTCTACTACTCTCTCATAGATGAACGAGATGTTGCACATGGTCATGGAATCATGGAGAGATTGCCCATGCTAAATTTGTGTAATGCTCCAGCAGGGAAAAATTTTGAGATAGGTTTTTGAAACGCAATGCAAAAACTGAGGGATCCTTTAGCAACCACTATTTCTAACCGCAACAACTCCTCACCACCTTTTTTCCTTGCTTATCCCGCAGATTGCTAGCATTGAAATTTCTGAATTCTTACTAATGCTGCAGAACTGAGAACACGTTTGCTGCGTGTTTTTCATGCTAGAATTACTCAATTATCGCTTGATTCTCTGTATCCTGTGATTTGCTGCAGTTGGCTGCCACTAATCTCTGTAGTCCATAATCCAGGATTTTCTACGTTGTTCTCTATTTGTATTTTGGCATCGCTACTTTCCTATTATGACGGATCCTGAAGCAAATCGAGAATTGGATTTTATGGAAGGATTTTCTGCTTTGGAATTCATGAACGATGTATTCAAATGTGTTTTGAGTGAATTTTGAGTGATTTGGTTAAATTTCTTTTGAGTCTTTTTTAGGATATCCTGAATGGCTTCCTGTGGGGGCCTTTAATTAATTAATTTCAAGAAAGACATGGCTTTATAAAATTATACAACACATTGAGATAAATACTTATAATTGAAAATTTATGAGTTTTTTTTAATATTTCAAACTTGAATGTCTCAAATTTAATTTTACTTCATGAACCAACCCCCATTGTCATGACATCTCTCTTCACATCCTCTTCTTGTGAATTCACATCCTATGTCTTACTAAATGGATTTAATTATCTTGCTAACTTACATTTAAGGATTGAGCCAACGACTGATGATGGATATGAAAAGATCATCTCACAACTTCTAGAGGCTCAGATGATAAATATAATTAGCGAAAATCATAGTAATTTTCATGCATAATCCGTCTTATAATGCCCATTCAATACTATATACTGCCAGCATCCATACCCTATTAGATTCAGCACCAGTTGCTGGCCATCCGTTCTTTGATTAATTTCATGTGGTGGGCTCAAGCTCATGCACCATTAATTAAAAAAAATTACATGTATATAAATCCATAACAGAACATGACTGCATATCCATGCGTTGAGTGAAGAAAACTGCTACTTCTTTGCATTGTCTTATGCTAACTCATTCATTTGATGTTGCCCACTGTTTCTCTTTGTTTTTTTTTTCCATTTTAATTTTCCTGGCTTGCCTCTTTCTTTCCCCATAAATTTGATAGTCTAGTATGGTTTTACTTCTCCTTTCAGGTATACCCCATACTTTTTTGACAAGAACTTGCTAGATAACATTCTTGAGGCTTCAATTGATCAGCACTTCCATACATTAATCCACAGCCGTCATATGCAACGGAGGCGTGACATTGTAGATGATGGCTTCGCTGCTGAAATTGAGGAACATATTGATAGTTTATTTGAGCCTCCAGAGGTAATCTTCTTCAAGGCTTTTTATTGTTGGTGTCATTATACAGCATGGTCACTTTGCCTGCAACCTGCCAACTACATCCATCTCTGCAATTTTGTTATTATTCAGTGGCATACGTGAGTTGTGACTGGCATTCTCTTGCTGAATTTTAGTTTTAACGTTTGATGCTTATGCTTCTTCCCATCATGCGTTTCAGGTTCAAGAATTGTTGGATGAAATGGGTCATCCTGGAGTACCTCTTAGTGTCATGTCAAAGGCAGCTGAGATCCAACTCCTTGATGTTGTTGACAAAGCACTACTAGGGAATAAGTGGTTGAGGAAAGTCACTGGTATTCAGCCAAAGCTTCCATATCTAGTTGATTCATTTGAAGAAAGGTATGTTATTGCCGCAATCACTGTGTTTTGTGTCATATCAAATAAAAAGACTGCTACTTTATCTTCTTTATATTTTTCATGGGCTGCCACCATGAAAGAAAATTCCTGTTTTCCTATCGAAGTATGATCTTTGCTCAATGCAATGCAAACATAATCTCCTAAGGAAAAATTACGTACCATAATCATTTCATAAGTTTAGGGTTTTAAAGTTAAAATTTGTGCATGGCATTGTTTTTTTTTTTTGCTTTTGTGCTGCAGAATAATATTTTCCATGAGAACATACCTTGTTCAATTTCAGCATATCTCAAAGTTAAGGACCCATGGTAAACTGGTTATTTCTGTTTCATCCATTTTCAGTCAAACCCGAAACTACGGGCTATAAGTGATGCGGACATCAGCACGAAGATTTGGCACATCTATCACAGGAGGCGTCGTAAATCGACGGCTCTAATTTAAATTGTCATTTATGAGTTATTTTATGAATTTTAGCTCTTATTTTATGTTATTTCATGTTTTACCCCTAGGTTAGCTTATTTGATTGTTGTGGCCCAAGGGGCAATTTTGTAATTTTGATTTTTCTCATGTTGTGGCCTAGATATAGGGCCTTAAGCTATTGTAATATGGATGAAGATTTGATATTAAATTTTTTTTTGTCCACACTTGTGTTCTTCTTGTGAGAGAGCGTTAGTGAGATTCCTATGGGAAGGAATCGGAGTTTCACCAGCCCGCAGGATGGGTCCGGGCTCGTGAATTGAAGTCCCTTGGAGAAGGGCAAAGCATCACCCGTCAGTGTTCGGGAGAGTCCGAGACTCGCGGTTTTTATCGTCTATCGTTTATTTTCTCTCTTTTGTTTTTTATCTCTTGCTTTTTGTTTTTCCTTATTGTTCTAGTCGTCTTCATCCTCCACCCTCACCGTCGGATCTCACCCCATCCTTCCTCTCCAAGCCCACGGCCAACTCCCTCACTTGCCGGCCACCTCCCCCATCCAACCCGTGAATCTCCCCCCCCCCTTCCTAATTTGGGTTGGCAAAATTGGAGGGAAAATCCATGACAATTTTGGTTTTCAAATTTCAAATTTGAAATCTTTCCTAATTGGGGTTGATCCATATTTGGAAGGTTTTAACTCTCCAATTCAAAATTCAAATTTGAATTGCAAGGAGATGAGTCATTAATCCCTCCAAATTAAATTAGACCCATCCAACCTCCACCGTCTCCACATGACATTCATTCCTTCCTAAATTAGATTGCATAAATTTGGTAACTATCGTTTGAATTAATTCAAATCAATTTGAATTTCAAATAGTTACTATATTTATATGTCTTATTTTAGGAAACCTTTTGAATTAATTCTTATTTGAATTTTAAATCAAGAGATGATCAAATATTTCTTTCCTATCTTGACTTATTAAGTAAGTATTAATGGACCCATTAATTTCCCCCCAGCACATATATGCCGCTAGCCCCTCCTCAAATAAATCATAGAAATTTATTTCCAAATCCATATTCCCCACTTAGGAAGTACTCCATATCCCCTCATCTAAATCTGGCCGAAATTTCCTCTGGTCCGTTTCCTGACTCCTCCACCCATATCTCTAATTAATTCCTATTTCACCTCTTCAATCCCGTAACTCTCACCTAGCTGAAATTGTGTTTTACTTGATTTATTCCAAAAGGGAAACCCCTTGTTTGGAAACAAACCCCATCAGTTACTCCTCTCCAAAGCAGCCTCTCCTCCCTCTTTCTTCCCCACGTGTCTCTGCCAATAATTTTCTCTGTTGGCCGAATTTCTCTCAAGCCCTTAGCTTGATTTTTCCTCCCAAGCTCCATCCCCATTATCAGAAAACCTGAAACTCATTTCAAGTTTGATTAGGACTTGGAATTTTGGAGAAGAAATACAATTCCCGAGCAAATCCTCCTACCCGTTCTACATCAATAAGCCTAATAGCATAATGATTTCTCGATATTTGCTGAATCCAAACTACTTATAAACTTACACTAAGTTGTCCCTCTTGGTGTTGGTTCAATGTTTGGACTTAAGTTGTATAATAAAGCATGATTTCTTTTTCCATATTTTATACAATAGGTACATTGTAGCTATGGATTCATCAACTTGTTGCCATCGGAGAAAGGATAGATAAGCTTGCACCACTAAACCCCAAAACATGGAAATCCTACTCGAGCAATTCTCTTTTTCCCTCACAATCTAGCTCTGTGTTCCATTCTTTCTCCAAAAAACCAAAATCCTACAACACTTGTATCTTTGCTGGCTTGGCTTAATGGGGTGGGCCCCTGGCTTGGCTTAATGCAAATTGGGGGGAAATTTTGAATGTAAGGGTAGTTTAGGTAAGTGTTAATTATCCTTTCATGTTAATTAGCAGGAATAGGAGGGATGAGGGGATCATCTTGAATTGGAATCTTATTTGAGATCTAGGATTTTTCTTGGGCTCTTGGCGTTGCCGGAGATTGGAGAGTTGTTCTTCCTCTCGAATTGAAGAACACTTGTATCTTTGCTGATTTTATTCGTCTACTAGTAAAATACAAGCCTTTGCTTGAGTTTTCTCTTAGTTTTCTCGCAATTTCTCGCTGTTTTCCTGTGTTTGGCTGCTGTCCACTGTAGAAAACAGCAGATTCCTTCTTGTTTTAATTCAGATTTGGCTAGGAACTACTTGAAATCAAGTATTTCCTATCAATAAAACTCATAACATCTTTGTAGTCCATTTCTTATGTTATCAATCTTAGCTATTTTGGAGTTCTTCTTTGGTAGACTCCGATGATTGTTGATTGGTCATTCATGTTGGTAGCGGATTCTTAAAAAATTTGCTTGTATCATTTTAGGATCTAATGAAATATATTAATGTTTAACACTCCTGTCGCCATGAAAAATAACCTTGTCCTCAAAGTTGAGGGAAGCAAATGATGAAGGGAGTACTGCAAAATTTTTTCATGTGGCATCTTTCGGTGTATTTAATTTTCATTATAACAAGACTTGATGGTGAGGTTGTCCATGAAGCTTTATAATGCGGGGGACGCTAAAATGGCATAAGAAACAATGAGTGGTTGATCATTATAAGCAAGGTTTAACAGTTAGGACGGAGTCAACAGAAAGTTCCTTTACATGGTCTGTGAAGAGAAATGTGAAAGACATGATGAATTTTGGTATTAGAAGGGTTAGGCGGTAAATCAATGGGCTAATGACCCCTTGAATTAAAAAATGTCTAAAATATGATTTAGCTAATTTAGAATGCGGTCTGTAGACAAAAGAATTTTGCCTGAAGGGTTGTAGTTTAACTATGACTAAATCTTCTACGGAGAATTGCAAATCCCTTATATGGAGATTTGCCATTAATTTCATGAGACATTTTATGATAAAAGTGTTGTAAAAGGGTGTCACGGTTGTTAATAAGGTATCTACAACATAAATGTCAATAGTACCACGAAGATATGCGGGGATTGATGGAGGTAATCAATCATGTAGAGCTTGAAAATGGATAATTTAAATAGTCGTATGAAGGAATGTATTATAACAAAGTTCAACCCAACAAAGAAATGTAGACCATAATCGTGGAGTAGTTGATGTAAATGCACGAAGGTATTATTCTAAACAACGATTGAGGACCTCTGTTTGTCCATCAGTTTGTGGGTGATATGCAGTGCTATAGTGAAGAGTGGTGTCACTCAAGGCAAAAAGACAATGCCAAAAGAGGCTTAAGAAAATGTTGTTACGGTCGGAGATAATTGTTTTGGAGGAGCCATGCAATTTAGCTACGATATTGGTGAAAAGTTCAGCTACTTGAGAGGCGGAATAATTAAATGATAATTGGCCAAAATGAGCATATTTGGAAAAGTAATCAATTACTACTAAAATGGTGGTGTTCCCTTTTGAGTAAGGGAGGCTAGTAATAAAATCCATAGATAAATTTTCACACATTTATAATGGAACTGGTAAAGGAGTTAATAGACCGACGGGAGGCAAGGTAGAGATTTTTATTTCTTGGCATATATAACGAAATCAGTGACATCTTTATGGAGTCTAAACCAATAAAAAATTAAAGAGATTTGTTTAATTATTTTGAGAATATCTTGATGGCCGACAAGAGTTGTGGAATGAAATTCAATGAGAAATTGATTTTTAAGAGAAAAAAAAACGTACTGATATAGATTCAATCTTGAAAATAGAGAATATTTTTTTGAATTTGGTAATATGAAGGAGGAGAGTTCAGCTTTTAATAGGTGGGAAGTGAGTTGAAGGATATCAGGAGATTTAAAGGGCTTTCTTCTTTAAATCATTGATTAATGAAATAGAAAAATTTGTGAGTGTGAAGAGTGAAAATAAGGCGGTCGGAAAAGGAACTCTATCTTCAAGTAAGTGAGATAATGAGTCAACAACTATAGTGGGACAAAGGCTTGATGTTGTTGTTTTTGTATACTCAATGGAGAAATCAAAGCCTAAGAGTTTGGGAGATACTATTGTTGGTCTGGTGCTTGAAGTATTTGTGTTCGATGATTTTATAGGCTTTTATGATCTATGTGAATAATTAACTAAGTTCCTAATAGGTATTGACACCATTTGCAAATAGCCTCAGTGATGGCTTATAATTCTTTTAAGTAGAGGATTGCGATAGGCGAGTGTTTAGATTTTTATTGAAGAAAGAAATATGATGATTGTTTTATAGCAAAACCGTTCCAATATTAATCTTTGAAGCATCGGTTTCAATAATTAATTATTTTGAAAAATCCAGTAAAGGTAAACAAGGGTTGTGGTTCTGGCTCTCTTAAGGTTATTAAAGGCACTAGAAGCAGAGTCATTCCATTTGAAAGAGTTTTTCTTGAGTAAATCAGTTAAAGGGGATGGAATTGAAGCATAATTTGAGATAAAGTGATGATAATAACCCGTTAAACCCAAAAAAGAGCGCAAATGTATTAAAGATGAAGGAATTTGCCAAGTAATCATAATTGAGATTTTCTTAGGATCGGGTTGGACACTTTCAAAAGATACAATA